CCCCAAAACCCCAAAACCCCAAAACCCCTTCCTCTACTTTCCCTATTGAAAATCTTATATTAGGGTTTACTGAGGTAGCCATCTATTACTTCTTCATCATTAGCAAATGCACAATGTGAGAAATCTTTCGTCCAATAAAACTTCTTGAAGCTCTTACTGATCTTCTCTTCCTTAACTGGCCACTCTCTGAGTTTAGACATTATTCTAAAAGCTATAGAGTCTCTTGTAGCTTTAGGAAAGGGACTCTGCTTAGGCTTGCTTCTCACTCTAGAAGCTCTCTTATTTAGCACAGAATTGATTCTTTTCTCCATGCTATTTCTGAACATGAGAAGGAAGATTCTTCATATCCTTATTGTTCTTCATAGATCTCTTCTTTTTAAAGGCAACATCAACACTTGCAGCAAGCTTGGGATTAAACTGCTGAGGAAGCTTTTCAAAAATTGAAATATCATGATTGTTCGAGTTATAAGATTCTATTTTAGAAGTATGATGAAGCTTATTTTTTTTAGAATGAACCTTTCCCTTATATCTCCCACGCCCTTCAGTTTTACTCCTTGATGTATTTTTGGAGCAATTATTCATATTTATAAGAAGTTTCTTCCTCCTCTGATAAGCAGAGGATTTAAGGCATTCCTTCATTGGGTTAGTGTTAACTTCATATAAATAAGTACTAATGCCTGTAACACCTGCGATTCTTTTAGGGAAGAGTCTAGATGTTCCAAGCAAGCTACTGCCTCCTTTAGTCGGGTTATAACTAGTGCTACTCATATAGGCTTTCCTCTTACTCGCATTTTTTAGTCTTCCTGTACGGTTGGGATCCATCTTGGATTTCCTTTCAATTTCATCAAAAGTGCCTTGGTCTTTTCTAAGAACAATGTCCATTTCCTTCATGATCTCTTCACGCCTGTGTTGGCCTTGGATCATTTCTAGGTATAAAATTTGATGAATTTACCTTTTATTGCTATTTCACGCTGTATAACCAACTTTTTCTTCCTTCTAAATTTGTTAGTTATAATGAATGGCTTACAGTTTAGCAGACTTATTTAGTATCGACTTTTGGTAGACCTTGGTCAGCATGTTTATCGTCCATCAGATCTAACTGAGGGATGTATAACTGTTTCATCGCTTCTAAAACAGGCTTTGCTTGCTTTTTGTTGTCTTTTTGTGAGCCGTAAACTTCTTGTTCATGATTACTAGATAATTTTTTAGCCAATCCGAGACCATTTCGATCTCTGAAAATTACAGATGTTTCAAAATCATTCATAAAATTATACGTTGATAGCTTACCTTGGCTCAGTTTCTATATTCACCCCAGTATGTATTTGGTCTGGAGAGTCTATATCAGATATAAATATGACTGAATTTTTGTCAAACTATTTCTACCCTAATTCAGTGAAAGAATCTTCTAGAATTGTATAAACTGTGGGAGCTTCTTTGTACCTTCTATATTCATTTATTTTTATACTTCAATTTTATTTTAAATATTTGGGGTTTTGGGGTTTTGGGGTTTTGGGGTTTTGGGGTTTTGGGGTTTTGGGG